TCATATGGGTTGTCTGTAGCTAGCTCCTTTTTATTCCCATACACTTTCTCCATGAACTTTTTAACCTAAAGTAACCCAGGACCTTACTCGGGGCCAGGGCTAGCTGTCTCTTCATTTTCCTGGCCTCTTCTCCTTGCTGCCTGAATGCAGTGCTGTCTGTCTTGTTTCCCTCTGGGCTATTCTATCCCCTCCACCATGGGTACCCCAGCCACACTCCCACCCCCAGCCACAAGGCGTGGAGCAGGCCGGTGTTCCCCTTTATGCCCCTAGGTAGAGCTTCATCTCTCCCCACCTCCAGCCAACACTTTTACAGAAAGTGATGCCCACAGCCCTGATCTGACCCCTACATCTGTATGCCCACCTCCTCTCTGCCATTTCCATTTCAGTGGCATTTTCAGCTCAGTCATTCTTTGGATCCATCATCTATCTTCCTAAGCTAACCCTTCCTTATGCTTACTTTCTCCTTGTTACCATGCTTCCTACTTTGTTCTTCTTACCACCTAATCTAGCCAAACCAACTAATGACTAACTCATTAAACAACTCTCTGTTGAGTGTGCCAGGAACCATTCAGGGCCCTGGGGAGGTATTGTTGAATGAGATAGACTCGGTCCCTACCCTCACAGACGTCTGGCCTAACGGGAGAGAGAGCAGCATTTGAGCCACTGTCACAGTGAAGGGTGACAGTGCTGAGAGCCATCGGAGCACCCAGCTGGGAGGCTTTGTCCTCTCTTCCTTCTGTGTTTCTCAGAATGTCTGATGAGTGCTTCATACAAACAAAATAAGCGACCAAGGATTAGGCCAAACTTTTATCCATCTCCCCAACACTCTTACCTACTGTTAGTCAACTAGTCAAGAAGTCTGGCCTGGGACTCAGGTGGGGCTGTGGATATCAGGAGCACACAGACTGTGAGGCAGGTGGGGATGTGGATATCAGGAGCACACAGACTGGGAGGCAAGTAAGGGTGACAAAGCCTGCCATTTCTTTTCCCAGTGCCAAACATCAGTCTGGACGTGCTGAAGCCTGGTTTTGCTGAGATCTTGGTGGAGTCCCACATGGTCATGCTACAGGTACAGAGTGGCCATTCCCACGTAGCAGGACTTCTCGAAGGGCTCTTGGGTGTCTGTAAATTTGGCTCACAAATCTGGAGGTGTGGTGTGGACTCTGCCCCCTTGTGGAGAGCTTTGAAAATGTCTTCATTTGCTGGTGTACTTGATCTCCAAAGCATTTCCCTTATCACAGAATGATGATGATGGTAATGGCGGTGATACCAATGAAAATGCCCATTGCTGTTACGTAACAGGCATGCTCTAGGCACTACATAGATTGACTCATGTAATGCTTATGACAACCCTATGAAGATGACGATTATCCCCAGTTTACAGATGAGGGAACTGCGGCCCACCTAAGTGTGAGAGGTGGATCCAGGCTTCTAAGCCAGGGTGACAGACTTTCAGAGTCACTGCTAGTTACCACTACACTCCTCTGTCTCTAAGTAAGTTTTCTATTTGTTCAGGTAGCCAAGTCCCTGAAAATCATAGTGCTCTTGGTTAAATACCAAGAAACACTGATACTTCATTCTAGCATATGAAATTAGGATCAATTTTATTAGTAGCTAATCTAAGGAGCCTTGGTATTGCAATCATTAAGCCCTCGGCTGCTAACCAAAAGGTTCAAACTCACCAGTGGCTCCGCAGGAGAAAAGACCTGGCAGTCTCCGCCCACAAAGATTACAGTCTTGGAAACCCTACGGGGTAGGTCTACTCTGTCCTATGAGGTCATGAGCTGGAATAGACTCAATGGGAAACAACTACAACAACAACAAATCTAAGTGTATCTCTTATAAAAAAGAAAACATTCTCACTGCCACTGAGTCAATTCCGACTCCTAGTGACCTCCATTGGGTTTCCGACGTGGTAAATCTTTACTGAAGTAGATTGCCCCATCTTCCTTCCATGGAGTGGCTGGTGGGTTTGAACCACCAACTTTCTGGTTAGCAGTCAGATGCCTTAGGCACTGTGCCACCAGAGTGCCTTGTCTCTCTCACATGCAGTGTAAAATCCCAACTTTGAGGCCCCTCATGTTCCCAGAGAGAAAACAAACTATTGAGAGGGCATGGGTGAGCCTTTTAAGTTTTTCTGACTCATTGTTTGTATTCTCTCTATCTTTCTGTCATCTGTTACTGCTCAGTAGCTGACAAGCTGTCAAAGCATCAAAGATTTAAGAACAATTAGAAAAGAAAAATTCTAAATTTAGAAAACTCTATCCATTGGCTAAATTCATTAGCTGTGAGTTGGGAAAAGCACCACAGTTTTGATGTTTGGGAGAAACCCCTTCACTGACTTCTGGAAACTTAGTGTTTGGTAGGAAAGGTGTTTAAGAACCACTGGATCTCAAGCAGGATTATCCTGACACCGCCCGAGCTGTAGGGCGGTGTGGTCGGCATTCTTCCTCCCTGCTGAGCCATTCATTGTGCAGTGGGCTTTCCTAAAAGTGGTTATGTAAGTACTCAGTAAACAGAGTTGACTTGTTTCACCAGATTAAATAAAAAATTCAGATTCTGTCATTTCTACACATTGAGAGGTGACAGATTGACACTAAGCAGTCTCTGGGTCACTTCTTGTCTGCCTCTCCGCTTGTAGCTGTCACCATGGCCTGATGACACAGCTCTTCTGCACATCTACCTGTCAGTCATAATAGCATTCTAGATCTGGGTAGAATTTTAAGATCAAGTCTAAAGAGTTTCATTTCTTCTTTCATTATCTAAGAGGTAGGGTCAGTGAAGGGATGTAGGGACTTTTAATTTAAACAATGTGGAGTCAAGGAGGGAAAGAGTTCAAAAGTGGGTCCAAATGACAGAAAGCGCCAAGTGAGTGGAGGGCCTATGGCTTGGGTGGGTAGAGAAGGGCTCCCTTGCCTGTGACGTTAGCTGAGGTCAACTGGAAGGTGCTTGCTCTAGATTTTAGTATAGGATGCTTCCTTCTTCTACTCTTGGTTCAGTAAAGAAGCTAGATTTCTCAGTTTGCTGTAGTGAGTAGGACCCTTGGCTTGTTACAGCTCTGACTGGAGTCCCTGAGTTTGGGTCTGAGCTGTACTGGCTGAAGGAATCGATGTCCTCAGCAGCCTTCCTCCCTCTGAGGCCCTTCAGGTAGTTCAGGGGCTGTGCACCTAGCTCCCTGGGGTCTGACACTTCCATGGCACTTTGACTCTGAAGGAGCAATCCAGCATCATAGGGACACCTGCCAACTATTCCCATCCCCTCAGAGAGTTGAATTAGTAAGGCCCTGGGTAGCAGTTCACTTAACCAGCCCTTCTGGGTTTCTCTTGGTTCTCAACCTAGGCCAATTTTGCCTTCCAGGGGACATTTGGCAATGTTTGGAGAAATTTTTGGCTGTCATAACTGGGGTGGGGAGAGTGCTACTGGCACTAGTGAGGCCAGGGATGCTGAACATCCCACTCTGCACAGGACAGCCCCACAACAAAGACTTCTCCAGCTGTAGCATTGTCAGCACCAGATGGAGAAACCTTCTCCTCCCTTGCAGCACTCGCTGCCCTTCCAGGGAAGTGCTTTCGCAGGGTGTCCTGATGATGAGGCTGAGACCAGGCCTGGGGTTCATGTCCAGGACCCTGAGCCTGTTCCTTCTTATTCTAGCAAAGACCTGGTTTTCCCTTGTAGAGACAGGCAACTGACAAGATGGCCATGTCTGGGTCTTTGGGGCCTAAGTGTGCATCCTCAGCAGGCAAGGTAGCGTCCCTGGGGGTGAGGATTTGTTCTTGGAGGGCAAAAAAAAACTTACCATGTTTATGCATAAAGCACAGGTCTACACACAGTACATAAACAGATTTATAGTGCAGCTTGGTATTAAAATTTTATGGGGAGGTTTAGGGGGGAAACATGTCTAAAAAGGCTCCTGGGAGTGGAGAGGGGCAGGAATGAAAAAAACGAATGTTGAGAAACACTGGCCTGAAGTTCTGTTCTCCAGGCCCAGGCACTCTTCGGAGTCTCCAGGTTTCTGCTTGAATTGGCCTCCCACACCCTGCTCACCCCACTTCTTGATGCCTTATGCTTGGCCTTGAATGCGTGCATATTTTATGTCCATATTTTAGGCCCCTTGTTCTGGTTACCTAGAACCGCTCTGACAAGAATATACCACAAATGGGATGGCTTTAACAAATGGGAGTTTATTCTTACAATTTGGAGGCTTTTAGTCTGAGTTCAAAGTGCTAGGCTCTAGGAGCTAGGTGAATACTCCTCAGCCTTGGGCTTCAGCTCTGCCTCCTGCTCACAGCCCACTGAAGCTAGAGGGTTTTCTTCACTTAGCTGCTGGCTGCTGAGACTGACAAGCCCAAGGTTGACAAGTAAACAGGTACAGTCCCAATGCTACCAAACCACCCAGCAGGCCATTAATTCAAATCCACTGAAAGTCCCAAGGTTGGCAGAACATGGCAGGCTGCTGAACAACGACATGCTTACATGTAGGGTTCAAGCGTGCCATAAGCTAAAGACCATTCCCAAAGCTGTCTCTTATATACAGGAAGTAGACCACATCCCTAAGGCAGCTACTCAGCTGCTCACAGTAGATTCTACCATGGAGTTGATTGCCAGTCTCATCATGGGGAATACTACATCCAGCTGCCCAGCCACTCAACCAGGCCCAGCCGAGTTGACACACAAACTGAACTACCACACCCCTCATTCCCCTTGTCTTCTTTAACTCAGGCTTAGTAGGGCCCGTCTTAGAATGCACTATCTCTGTTGGGAGGCAGAGGCCTGGTGTTTGGGGGAAGTAAGGCCATTGTTGCAGGCAGGCGGGCAGGCTGACAATAAGCCACAGAGGGAGGAAAATGGCCTCCCATGTCTGTCAGTCCTGTAGGTCTCTGTCTTGACTTTTTTTTTCTGCCACCATCCTGCAGGGGAACAATGGCCTCAAACCCAAGGATAATGACTTCTCATCCAAACCCTGGCACTGGCCTATCAACTACCAGGTAGGGCCTGAGACTAGAGCTCCTCCAGGAAATGGAGACACAAAGGAAACCATTGAGATTTGGGGGAAAGGGTGGGGGCTGATGTTCTGGGGAGGGCAGGTGACGGTGGGATGGGTTGGCTCTGTCTTCTGGTTCTGACCCCGCCTTCCTAGAGAGCTCATGTGGAACACGTACTTTCCTGAGCCTCCGCCCCAGCCTCCCTATCTGCAAGGGCCCCCTTCCTTTGGAGGAATACCCAGGCGTGAGCGAGGCCCTGGATCAGCAGCGTGTTCTCTGCCCCCAGGGCCTGCGCTTCTCAGGGACCAATGACACAGACTTCCGAGTCTATCTGCTTGGCAACCCGGTGAGCACCCTGTACAGTGGGTCTGGGCCCTCGAGCGTCTGCCCAGTGAGAGCTGCTGCTGTCCGCTCACCCTCCTGCTCTCGTTCCCATGCAGGTGGTTTGGTGGCTGAACCTGTTGAGCATTGCCCTGTACCTCCTCTCAGGGAGCTTCACTGCTGTGGCCCTGCAAAGAGGGGCCCACCTGCCAGCAGAGGTGGCAGGTCAGCTCCCTGGGCCTTCCCTCCCCTGAGCTGTCAGCTGGCAGGATGCCTGTGCTCCTGGGGGTGGGCCGGCCGGCCAGCCTGAGGAGGGGCGTTCTGTGCCTTCACTGCCCCCAACTCCCTTCTCCTTTGCTTTTCAAAGTGAACAGTCAACAAATACCCAAGTGCATGTTAAACATTTTGCATCTTCCCAATAACCCTATAACCAAAATAAGAAAAAAACCAAACTCTCTGCCATCAAGTCAATTCTGACTCATAGTGACCCCCTTTGGGTTTCTGAGGTGGTCAATCTTTATGGAAGTAGATTGCCCAGTCTTCCTTCCGTGGAGTGGCTGGTGGGTTTAAACCACCAACCTTCTGGTTAGCAGTCAAATACCTTAGGCACTATGCCACAAGAGCTCCTTAACAACTCTGTAGTGTAGGATATTATTACCCCAGTTTTATGCATTAGGAAATGAAGCCCAAAGAGGCTAAGGAACTTGTTCTAAGATGTACAGCTGGCAACAGAGCTGAGGTTTGGATCCAAGCAGTCGGACATCAGAGCCTTCCCTTTTAACAGCTATGCTATGGACATAGCTTCCTATCTTTTCTTGTCCCGTGGCCCTGTGATCTAGTGGGCCAAGAGGAGCCCCAGAGTGCTAGGTTCCCATCCTGTGTTGCTCCTGGTAGCTTCAGTGGCTATGCCATGGACCACAGCATCTGAGAACTCACTCCCTCTTTTTGGGTCCGCAGCTCCCTGTCTGAACAGCCCCTCCTCCCTCACCTCTGTATCTCTGCCCCTACCTCCACCCATCTGCCACTGCAGAGGTCTGTGTGGCAGCAAAGAAGTAGGGCGTAGATGTGGTGAGACAAGCTGTCTGGCAGGGTGTGTAGGATTGTTGTTTCTGTAGAGGCCCGGCTGCCACCTGCTGGGTTGGGCGCCTCTGTCATTGGTGCTGAGACCTCACCAACTGGCTCTTGACTAGGGCCCTTGAGATCCAGCAGCCCTAGCTCTGCTGTAGAGTTGCTCATGTTGGGCCAGATGAGGGAAGGGAGACCCAAAGCGGGGACAGGACTCACTCAGGGACACACAGCAAGGAAGGGGCAGAGCTGGCCTAGAGCCTAGGACTGGCCTCTGACTGGGCTGCTGCTTGGGCTCCAGGGCTGTCCCAGGTCCTGCTTCAAGGAGGTGGTCAGGCCCTGCTTGGCTGGATGCTCCATTACTTCCCGTTCTTTCTGATGGGCCGGATCCTCTACTTCCACCACTACTTCCCAGCCATGCTCTTTTCCAGCATGTTGACAGGTCAGTGCTGCCACCTGGCTTTGAGTGACAGATATTGGGGTGGGAGGAAGAGACTACCGTGGAACCGCAGGCCTGAGAGTGAGTCTCTCTGTCTCCCTGACTTGGGTGCATCCCCAGAGTTGTTCTCTGACAAACTGGTAGGCTTTCCCGTCTCTTCACTAGGGATTCTATGGGACACACTCCTGCGGCTCTGTGCCTGGCGGCTCTGTGCCTGGCACCTGGCTTCCTGCTCCCTGGCCAAGGGCATCCATGTAGGAGGAATCCTGAGCCTGCTCCTGGGAACTGCCTACAGGTGAGCAGTGCCTCCCGATGCCCAGGGACTCAATGGTGCATTGGCCCTGGATGCGTTTTAGAATCACCTCGGGTCCCCTTAAAACACATCAGTGCCTAGGCTCCCTCCCCTGAGATACTGTTTAGCTGGGCTCAGGTGGAGCCCACGGTTGTGAAAGCTCCCCAGGTGACCCTCATGTGCAGCCAGATCTAGGAAACACGGGGCTGACTCTGGGCTCTTACCTTCTGCCAGTGGTTCCCAGCTTTTGTGCTGCCCCAGCTCACCTGGAAGGTACCCATCTTTAGTCACAGTGGCTGCCTACTGGCATAGCTCTGAGTGAAACGACGGAAAGAGTGGGCAGAATGGGAGCGGGGGTGTGGTCGGCTCAGAATCGCTGGAAGGCCCCCCTCCTTCCCCTCCTGCTGGCTGGCCTCACAGACCCTCTTGTTAAGAGTCACTGAGTATCAGGGGCCACAGACTCGTGTCCCTTTAGGGACTAGGTAGGGACAGAAAGGCAGGAACACATGGGCTATGACCTGAGTGTGGCTCGGCTCAGAGGGTTCACACCACATTTCAACAAACACTCAGGGCCAAACAACCCATGACCAGACCCTGGACTGCTGTGTTTTCCTGATCCTCTTGGGCAAGAGCTTTATTGCCATAAGCTGGCATCTAGGTTCTGACTACAGTGTGCCCAGAAGGCAAACTCAGACTGAGTGGGAATGGAGGGGAATGCGTTCTATATGGTGAGGTCTGATGAGCTCCAGCAGGCAGGGCTGAATTACAAATTCTGAAAGTCCTCTGCCTCGGCTGAGGCCCTGGGATGCCAACGGCTTCCCTCTGAATTCTCTCTCACAGCTTCTACCTCTTCCACCCTCTGGCTTATGGAATGGTTGGTCCCCTAGCCCAGAACCCCCTCAGTCCAATGGCAGGACTAAGGTGGCTGGAGTCTTGGGACTTCTGAGACTACGGCAAGGACTCTACCCCGGGTCCAGGAACTTCCCAGAGACAGCCAGCTGTGGAGCCAGTCCCTGAGCCTCCTGGCAGTGGAGGAAGCTGCCCAAGGAGCCCGAGGGATTCTGCTGCCTGCCAGGACCAAGCTCCAGGAGTGACCAACCTAGAACCACAGCTCTGGCTATGGTCCTGCCACAGAAGTGTGGGGGCTCCACAACCGAGGCCAGCCTCTCAGTTCCCTGAGTGTGCAACATGAGAATGAGTGTGCAAGATGGGTGGGAGTGTGTGGGAGTGTGTGTGTGTGGGAGGTACATGTGTCCATATGCCTGTGGAAGGTAGACCACGTGACTGTGGACAACTGAATGTCATAAACCCTAACAAACAGTCCAGGGCTACAGTCATATATATATATATATATATTTCTTCACACTGGCTTTGGTTTGGTTTGGGTTTGTAAGTAAGATCCTTAAAGGTTCTCTGACCTGTGAGATGGCCCAATGGTCAAGAGTACAGCCCCCCACCTTGGGATGTTAGCAGGGGCAGAGCAGACGGACCATCAGTGCTGCACTGCCTCCTTCCCGTAGACAAATGATACGGCTGAGCTGGAGGGCATGCTACCCTGAGCCTCCGAGCCCAGTCTCCCAGCTGCTTCCCTGCATGGCTGCTGTTGTTGGGACATCTCTTCTGTGGCAGCTGGTGGCCAGACTTCCTGCCTGGGACTGTGTGCAGAGGACTGAGCCCCTCAGCCTGGCTCCTTGCTCTCTGGGGATAACATCTGAGTCCCTCAGGTGGCAGGGGACCAGCATCCTAAGTGTGGCTGTGCTGTGTCTGCGGGCCTGCGGGCCAGAGGCTGCTCCTCTGCCTGTCCATTTCCCTCTGCGTCAGGCCTGGCTCCGAGAACCAGGACAGATACAGCCACCTGATGCCAAGAGAGCCCTTGGGGACCGTTGCTGAGCAGTGAGGCAGGCAAAAGGGAGGCAGAGCAGGGAGTCTGTATGGTGCTGGAATGGGCCCAAGCAGGGCCCTGGGGCAGGGGTACTCAGGCCTATCACTTGCTGGGTGTCCTCTGCTGACAACCCCTGCCCTTTCACTCCATTGGCCTTTTCCCTTCTATGTGGCACTATTTCACCCCTCCCTTTCCCCCAAAAGCAAACCAAACCCACTGCCACTGAGTGGATTCTGACCCCTAGTGACCCTATAGGGCAGAGCACTGCCTTATAGGGTTTGCAAGGTTGTAAATCTTTACAGAAGTAGACTGCCTCATCTTTCTCCCACAGAGTAGCTGGTGAGTTTGAACCAACGACCTTTTGGTTAACAGCCGAATGCTTTAACCACTGTGCCACGAGAGTGCCTCCTTTCCTCCAAAGCACTTAGAAGTACATCACAACTGCTCCTCTTTACCAGGGTGACACCCAAGCAAGAAGTGCAGAGCTGTTTCTTCTACTTCCCACCCAAATGAAAAAGATTAAGAAAACCCTCAGGTCAAAACCAAACCAGCCCCAGCCAGCTCTTCAGCCTGCCTCCCTCCTCCTGGCAAATGACAGTATTTTATCTCAGGCCTGTGGTGCTGCAGGGCTTATAGATGAATCCCTGCCATGCTGCATCTTCCCTCCCTTGTAGTCCCCACCAGCCCTGACAAGGTCAGAGCTCTTTAGAGCATCTTCGGGAGGCGGTTGCCACGGAGACTGGAAATTGGTCCCAGGGACAGGCTGTGCTACCTACTGGGTGGTGGGGAGGGAAGCTTCTGGGCCAGGCTTGGAGTTCAAACCAACTGTCATTAATGTTAATAGAGGAAATGCAGCAGCGTCCAAAGCAAAGCAGTCTGGTTAATTAGATCTGGGGCCTGGTGACCTCCCTCTTCCAGGGCTATGGCCCTTGTGACTTCCCCCAGCAGGAAGCCCTGCCTGTGTGCTGAGTCTGGGCTGCTTGCTTAATTGCATTTGTGGGAGGGAAGGCGAGCTGGGATGGAGAAACTGCTCAACTCCCACCCTTCCCCTGCCTTCCCCTGCCCTCCACAGGTAGAGTCGATTTCTTCTGACTGGGTGGGGGCAGCCATCGGGGTGGGCTCTGCTGGAGGAAACTGTCCTTGGCTCTTAGCAAAAGAGGTGGTCCACAGTGCCATCCAGAGGGTGCTGATGTTCCCTGGTGCCTGCCTGCCTTTGCAATAGGAATTGTTGGCAGGGGGCAGCTCCTCTGAGATGATGAGTCAGAGAGAACACAGCAGTTTTCTGCCCCTCCCCCACTTCCCCAATAACTGGGGACAAAGGGTTCCCTGTTTTCTCCACTGCTTTCCAAGGATGGGAGGAGAATGCCTTGCCAACTCCCTCCTGTTCCTCCATGCCCAGGTTGGCATCATTTCTCTGGGGACAGGGCCACTGGATTCATGTAGCTTCAAGCTCTCACGTTCTATTGCTAGGAAGAGGGGCTGTCAGGGTACTGCTCTGAATTTGGGCTCCAGCCCCCAGGAATCAGAAATGTGACGTGCCAGACAAACTTGCAGGTGGATGAAGATGACAATGTCATCAGCCCAACCTCTAATGAGTTTCTTGAGCCATGCTTTATTTAAAAATAAAAAAAGTTTCCAGAGATGATTAGAGGCCATTTAGTTTTGTACTAAGTGGCTCTTGTTTTGAATGCCATGTTCTTATTGTACTTAATTGACTCTGACCTGCCCTTTGGCTACTAGAAGAACTTTCCTAAGAAGAGAAGACTGTTTTGAGTGTAAGACCCATTCCATTGTGGCTCATGTCTGAGGATGTTCTAATGCCAGCAGAGATCCTGGGCTGGGGAGCCTGGTCACCTAGGGGACATTTGGGCTTTCCTACATACATGGTTACTGAAGCAATGTCAGTTATTTCAATTTATTTAAACTTATTCCAAAATAAACCTAATCAAACCCAAGCCGTCAGGTCAATTCCGACTCATAGCGACCCTATAGGACAGAGTAGAACTGCCTCATAGGGTTTCCAAGGTTGTAAATCTTTATGGAAGCTGACTGCCACATCTTTATCCCACAGAGCAGCTGGTAGGTTTGAACTGCTGTCCTGTTCATTCACAGCAAGGTGCTTTAACCACTGCACAACTAGGGCTCCTTTATTCCAGAATAAGACGGAATATTATTTTTTAACTTCCCCCCAGAATATGGAAAGGAACAAGAGATTAACAGAGCTCTCCAGCTCTGAGCTGAGTGGCCGGCCCAGTGTTGTAGCAACTTGTCATTCTGCTTACTAGAGCCCCTGCCCTGACAAGGGTCCTCTGTTACCAGGACTGATGCCAAGGGCCTGCAGGAGCAGGGGGCTGACTGGAGTGCTAGACAGAAAGGTGGAGAGCAGTGCTGTGCTGTGGAATCCCCGTCTCCTGGCTGGCCACCCACTTAAAACTAAGGGTATCTGGTTGGGGAGCAGTCATTCAGATCCTCAGGAGATGGGAAATGCCAAGGACAGACAGGTTAGAAAAGGACCATATGCACTCCTTTGAATGGTGCTGCTCAGTTTACAAGCTCTCAACACATCTGTGACATTTAATCCTCATACAGGACCAGTGAGTCAGTGATGTATTTGTCTCCATTTTACCTGTGAGAGATTAAATCACTTGCCTAAAGGCTCAGTACAGCCAGGGATCAACTCCAAGTGGAGCTTTTTCTGCTTCTCCTGCCTGGTGCTGGGACTAGAAATTCTTTCCCAGAATAACCCAGCAGCCCTGGGTCCTCTGGGGAGAAGGTCTGAGCTCTCCACCTGGAGCTCCCTAGATTCGGCAAGTTCGTTTATATAATCTACTTTAATGCAGCAGCTCATCCAGGGCCCAGTTTTCCCTGGTTCTCCCAGGTGCTGTCCCGGAAGATGTTTAACAACAGGTTTTCCAGGAGAAGAAAAGCCCAAATTTGTAGCATTTGCCAATTCCCAAGGTGTAAAGACTCCCACCATGACCTATTTCATACTACCATCGAGTGATGTCACTCATTGAGGAGTAGGAAAGAGAAGCAGACAATGGGTTCTCACAGCCATCGAAGCTGGTTCCAGCACACCACTGACCCACACCTCACCCTTGATGGTCTGAACTATGGACACAGCTCTTGATCACAGTCCATGTGAGCGAAGGAGGCCGTGGAACATGGAGCCTGGGGCCACGGGCCAGCGACTCAGACCTGAGGTAGAATCCTAGCTCCATCAGTTATTAGCTGTGTGGCACTGGGATAGTTACTTAAACTCTTTGCCTCTATTTCTTCATTTGTAAAATAGGAGTAAGTAGCACCTACTTCATAGTCAGGAGGATGAAAAGAGTTAGATATAAAGGGCCTGGCAAGTGTCTGGCCCATGAATGCTCAACAGATGTTAGCTCTTCATTGTTGTTGTCATTGAAAGTGCCATCGAGTTGGCTCCGACTCATAGCAACCCCACGTACAACAGAACAAAACACTGCCTGGTCCAGTGACAGCCTCACAGTCATTGCTGTGCTTCACCCATCATTGCAGCCACTGTGTCAATTCATCTTGTTGAGAGTCTCCCTTTTTCACCAGCCCTCTACCAAGCATGATATCCTTCCTCAGAGACTTGTCCCTTCTGACAACATGACCAAGGTAGGTGAGATTGAAGTCTAGCCATTCTTGCTTCTAAGGAGAATTCTGGCAGCACTTCCTCCAAGATGGAGTTGTTATTATTAATGATAAATTCAATCTCCATAGCAGCTCCAATGCTGGATAGAACTTGAGCTTTCTCCTAGATTATAACCTCCTGCCCAAGTCCCACCCAGATGCCAGGCAGGGAGCAGAGCTCCTGACTTTCCCCCAGCCCCTCAAATGTGGATTCAGACCCTTGGGCTACTTGTTGGAATACACCACCCTGGCTGCTTCACCAAACCAAACTCAATGCCATTGAGTTAATTCCAACTCACAGCAACCCCCATTGGGTTCCCAAGGCTGTAAATCTTTACAGAAGCAAACTGCCTCGTCTTTCTTCTGTGGAGCAGACTGGGAGTTTGAACTAACTACCAATCTTTTGGTTATCTGACCTTAGTGGCTTAGGCCCAGCCAAACTCTCTGGCCTTTTTGTCAAGGGAGACAGAGATTAGAGTGTGCCCAGTCCTCTCCTACTATCCTGTCTCCTGGCCCTGGAAGGGCAAAGAACAAGGCCAAGGGTTTGAGCACTGGTTCTGTCACTAGCAAAGGCATTAACTCCCATTAACTTACCCCTGTCCAAAGGAGAAAGGAGGTAAGATGGGTGCCCAGACTGTTGTCAAGAAGAATAAGCTAAGTGGAATGGGAGGCCTTAAGTTAGGTGACTTGCAAAGAGCCCTGGACATCTGGTCACTGAAAGGTAAAGGGTACCAGGGACATGGTGGCCTCCTCTGTAACCTGGGTGGTACCTGGCTGCAGGACCACAGGATACCCATGTGGAATAGTCCCCAAGTACACTGGGCTTCTCCCACAGTCCCCATCCCTCTGTGCTCCTGCTTGGGGGTCTCTTAGACTCCAGGACACAGGCCCTTGCCAGGCTGTTTAGAGCCTTGCTGTCCTGCCCACCTCAGAGCACATACCCCCCCCCCCGCAAGACATGTGGGGAGATGGGAAGATAGGAATAGGGCCCTCCCTAAACTTCAGAGCCCTTGGGAGAGGGACAACAGTGAGATGTTTTCACTGTGCCTGGCTGGAAGCAGGAAAGAAGAGTTCTGAGGTTGTCAGTCCTGTTCAGGGCCAGAATAAGGTTCAGCCTTGAAGTCATGGAGCCATATAACCTGTTCATAACCCATCGTCCAAGAACACTCACTTCGTATTCCTGAAACCAAAAGAGATTGATTCTAGAAGGCCCCTAAGAGACCATGTTATTCAACTGCCTTTCTGTACAGCTGAGGAAGCTGAGGCCCAGGGAGAGAAGTGCACAGATTGACAGGAGACAGGCTCCGACTCAAAAATAATGAATGGGTCAGCTCCCTCAAACCTGGGCCACTGGAACTGGTCTGAGCCCCGAGGAACTTTCACGCTTGAAAGAGAAAAGATGAAGTCTTACAGGAGACACCTGGATGGCAAGCATGAGCCTATTACCTGAAGCAGTACTTCTATTTTAAAAAAGAAAACAACCCACTACCATCAACTAGATTCTGACTCATAGCAGCACTACAGGAGACAGGAGAACTGCCCTATAGGGTTTCCAAGGCTGTAAATCTTTCCGGAAGCAGACTGCCTCATCTTTCTCCTGCAGACCTGCTGGTGAGTTCAAACCACTGGCCTTTTGCTTAGCAGCCAAATGCCTTAACCACTGAACCACCAGAGCACCTATTTTTAAAAAAGTCAAAGATTATAGAATAGCAGAATACTAGACATAATTCCCTCCATTTCCAGCGGAGGAAATGGGCTCCCAGCTCCCAGCTTCTGCCCTTAAAGTCCCTCCCGGCCAACCAGAGTTTGGTTAGAACTGGAGCCCACAGATCTCAACAGTTTCAGGAAAAGCCAGGCCTGCCTGGAAATGGCTGCAGTCTTGCCTATGTCCCGAGACTGGGAGCCTTGGTGGCCTCTAGGTGCCCTCCGCAGACCCAGAGCTAGCACAGAGGGCATCCCAGCCTCAGCCTGGTCACACGTGTAGGGTCCATAGCTGCACCCTGGCCGAACGTGAGGGCGGAAGACAGGAGAAAAGGATGGACAGCAAACTCAAATACCCCTAGACAATGTTCAAGTGGGGTTTTTGGGATGGTGGTCCAACTCAACAGACCATCAGGACTTCAGACAAAGCCTAGTGCCATCAAATGCGTTCCAACCTATAGCGACCCTATAGAACACAGTAGAACTGTCTGCATTGGGTTGTAAGGCTGGAAATGTTTAGGAAGCAGACTGGCACGTCTTTCTCGTGTGGGGAGCGCCTGAGCCCTTTTGGTTAGCAGCCCTACGCTTAACCATTGCACCACTGGGGCTCTTTCCAGCCCTGGGTAAGTACTAATGCTATCAGTTTGCAGATGAGAAACTGAAGCCCAGGGAGGCTGAACGATTTCACTCCAGCTCCGAGGCCCGGGCATTTCCCACGCTATGGTCTTTCTCCGCCATGGCGGGTTGCAGAGAGCGCGCGAGCCTTGATGGACGGGCGGGGGCGGGGGCCGCGGTCGCTTTAAAGCGCCCGGCCCGGGCGGCGCGGGGCGGGGCCGCTGGCGGAGCTGCGAGGTGCAGGGCACAGCGGCCGGAGCGGGGTCCCGGGCAGCGCCAGCAGGGCGTGCGAGGCGGGGCGCCTCCACACACGGCCGGCTGCGTGCGTCTTCGCTCCGCTCCGGCCGAGGAAGTAGCGGCCGCTGGCCCCTGTGGAGGCCGTAGTGGGTGCGGAGTGGCCCGAGTCGCCGCGGAGATGGTGCTGCACGTGCATTGACGGCGCCCGCGCCCCGAGGGTCCCAGCCGTGCGCCCCGCGTCCCCGGCGAGCATGCAGCACCCCGAGCCCGAGCTGATCCGGCAGAGCTGGCGGGTGGTGAACCGCAGCCCACTGGAACACGGCACTGTGCTGTTCGCCAGGTGAGGCGGTCCGAGCATCTGAGCAGGGGACTGGACCTCGCAGGATGGACTGGAGGCGGCCGGGCGGGTCGGAGGAGGGACGCCAGGCGCCAGCCAGATGTGCGCCAGAGAGCGGGGCGCAGTGAAGGTGGCGCAGCCCCTTGTGCGCTTTCTCTGGCGGTGGGCGCACCCTGCGGGCAGCGCCTCACCCTCAGCTCCTGCCTGGGTTTACGGGCTAGGGTGGGGGCCTCGCTAACGCATCTCTTCACACCCGGTCGGCTGTGCCCCTGCCTAGTTCTGCGCCTCCTACACGTCCCTTGGGTGGCGACTGAAAGGCACTCACCGCTTCTGGGTACAGGGAGAGTAGCGTACCCGGAGGGTCCTGCGCTGAAGGTATGCCCGGGGGTGTATGCCAGCGCACGGGGTCTGGGCCCCAGGTGTGCTCACTCTCAGCCAAGAACGGAAGTATAAACCCAACTGGGGAAGGACCAGGCTAGGACCAGAGAACCTCCAGGGAAGAGTGACAGCCATCCAAGTCTCACTACCAAGGGGGTGGGTTGAGGGTGTGCAGACCCAGCCAGCGAAGGGGAGGCCAGTCTGCAACCCCAGCTCGAGGACCTGTCACCAACTACTAAGCCACCAAGAGTAGTGCATGGCTCTTTCCTCGCCTTGAGCTTTCAGGAGCCTGGCCCCCTGACCCAGCCCAGAACTTCTCAGGAGGCTTTTGTAAAATTTCCCCAAGGCAGAGGGGGATAAACCCACAGAGCTCCTCGACCCCCTAAGTGCATCTGGAATGTGACTGAGAGCTTCGCCCGCCCCCCACCCCAGTCCCACTGCCTGGGACTCCACCACTCCCAAACTGTGTGACCTAGGAGAAGTTACTTAACCTCTCTGGGCTTCTTTTTCCACCTCTTCAATGTGGGAATAACAGTTGTGTCCACTGTTTAGGACTGTGAGGAAGACATGAGTTAACCATATGTGAAGCGCTCAGTGTAAGGAGTTTGTTCTTGATACTGTTATTATCATCACTAATTGGAGACGTGAGGAAACTGTGGGAGCTTCTGACCCAAGAGTCTGAGGCTGAGAAGGGGTTGGAGGGGGGATGGCAGAGGAGAGAAGGGTTTGCATCCCTTCCTTAAAATCTAACTCCAGATTTCTTCTATGAGATTCCCTTCCTGTCCCAGTCCAAACCCCTCAACTATTTACAGAGGGGCTACTGTTTGTTATGCCAGAAGAAGCCCTGGTGGCACAGAGTTAAGCACTCTGCTGCTGGTCACAAGGTTGGTAATTCACACCCACACAGGGGCTCTGCAATCTGCCCCCATAAAGATTACAGCCTGGAAAGCCCTGCGGGGCAGTTCTGCTCTGTTTTTACACTGGATTGCTAGGAGTTGGAATCAGTTTGATCTCACTCAGCAACTATAAGCCAGAGACCCAGTAAGGCATTGCTCTTCCCAGGTTACCCCTCAGGGCTGGCCTAAGGGAGCAGGCAGCGGCAAAGCTGGCAAATGGCACAGGCCGGATTGGTGGATGCACCAGCGTTTACTGCCAAGCGCCGGCCAGCCCCCACTGCGGGACAGCCAGGCTCCTTGTGGCTGTGCTTTTGGGGGCTGACTCTTGGGCCTCCTCCCACAGGCTGTTTGACCTGGAGCCAGACCTGCTGCCCCTCTTCCAGTACAACTGCCGCCAGTTCTCCAGTGTGGAGGACTGCCTCTCTTCCCCAGAGTTCCTGGACCACATCCGTAAGGTGAGGGGAAGGTGGGCACCTGGGAGACAAAAGGGACTTGGAAGAGGAAAATCACTTCTGCTTTCTGCCTGGGGGCCTGGTCTTACTGCCCTTTCTCTGCTCCCCTGTCAGGAGTGTCTGCTCCTTCCCCTCTGGGTTAGGCTGGGCCTCCTCTACCCTGTGCTCAGCCAGCTGGTCTTAGCTGCCTTGTTCCCTGGTTCCTGTAGGTGGTGCTGGTGTTGATGTTGGCCATTAGGGGCCATCCACCTAAGAAGGTGTTCTCAGAGGCTCAGGACTCTCACAGGCCTCCACTGCCCCTTATCCTGGCAGAGAACACCGTCCAGTGGGCTTGTTGAATGTGCTGAGATCCTAAGAGAAGAGAGGCTTCCTTCATGGGTGTAACGTTAGTAGTCTGGCCATCACGTGTTGAGTTCCTATGGTATACAGGCAAGGGTGTGTTTCACCTTTGACCCTGGGAATCTGAAGGTTCTGGTGACCTCTCTTGCCTCTCTGGTTGGGGCCCCAGGTCTGGGCTGTAGTTCTGAGTGCTTGAGGTTGCGTTGGCCTTGAGCCCTGGGTCTCTATTTCACTGCTACCTTGGCCTTGGCAGGTGATGCTCGTGATTGATGCTGCAGTGACCAACGTGGAGGACCTGTCCTCGCTGGAGGAGTATCTAGCTGGCCTGGGCAGGAAGCACCGGGTGGTGGGGGTGAAGCTCAGCTCCTTCTCGGTGGGTAAAGGGGCTCTTCCCCTCTCCAGTTTCCGGCCTGAGGCCTCCACTCTCTTCCTGTCCATCCCTATTCACCTGTTCTCTCCTCCTACTCCCACGCCTCAGATGACCAGGACCAGGAGCCCGCATGTGTTACTTGCTGTGTGACCCTGATCCTGGCACCCTGAGCCTCCATTTTTGTCTTTTCTGGAATGACTTCCCGTAGACTCACAGAAAATTAAGAAACCTTTGACATTAGTGCGTCCGCTTGTGTAACAAACCACCCCAAAGTGTACTGGCTTAAAACAACTTCTGATTTCTCTTAGCTGGGCTCAGCTAGATGGTTCTTGTGTTCCACCTGGTGTAGCTGGAGTCAGTCATGCCCTGCATTCAGCTGGGAGCTCAGCTGGGACTGTCCCAGATGGCCTCCAGGTTCTCTCTCCAAGTGGCGTCTTACCACTCAGTAGTAGTCTAGCTGAACTTCTTCCAGAATGGCAGCTGAGTTCCGAGAGGGAATGTGCCAAAAGGACAAGCCCCAGTTTGCTAGCACTTAGCAAGTCTGTTTGAATAACTTGTTAATGTCCCATTGGCCAAAGCAAGTCCCAAGAAAGAGACAAATGTCCATGTGGAAGGACCATCTCAAGGGCGTAAATCCCACGAGATGTGGTTCATTGAGGGCCACTGACATGACTGTCTCCCACAGTCCAGTCACCTTGCCAAGTAACTACTGTTTGGCCTTGAGAAAGGGACCATGTTTGTCTTGTTTTCCTCTCCATCCCTAACATTAGCACAGTGCTTGGCCCTTAATGGACATTCAGTAAATGTTTGTGGAATTTGATTATAATCAGTAATAGCTAATGTGAGTTGTTTAGATTGTTGGAGCTTTCCTATGCAGACACTGTGCTAAGAGTTGTTATGGATTATCTCATTTAATCATTCCAACGACTCTATGAGTTGTAACTTTTGTTTGTCCTGTTTTACTGATGAAACACTGAGGATCAGAGAGGTTAAATAACTTGCTTAAGGACACACAGCTCATAAATAGTACAGTCAGAATTTGAGCTTAGCTCCATTTGGCTTCAGAACCTGGGCTCTTAACCACCACCATGGCTGCCCTGCAGATGAGGAAACTGAGGCCTGGGGGCCAAGACTTGACTGTGTCTGAACCGAAGTTACCAGGCATAGCCTCAGCCCCACTTATCGGGTAGTTGTGAGGGTGTTAAGGAGGGTGCGCACAGTAGGGCACCCAAGGATAGGGGCAGATTCTTACTCAGAACACACAGACCATGTGCAGGAGAGGAGAATGGTTCCTTACCAGCCCTTGGGAATGACAGCTGCCCTTTGCCTCTGCAGACAGTGGGTGAGTCCCTGCTCTACATGCTGGAGAAGTGCCTGGGTCCCGCCTTCACGCCGGCCACGCGGGCTGCCTGGAGCCAGCTCTACGGGGCCGTGGTACAGGCCATGAGTCGAGGCTGGGACGGCGAGTAAGAGGTGGTCCTGTCCAGTGGTCCCTATCTTGACAGCTGTCAGCATGTCTGTCTGTCAGCGTGTCCCTTGTAGCCTGGGCTCCCCTAGGCCTCCTTGCATCTCTGTGCTAGTCCCTTTAGCCCTCCTGGAGAGATAACGGAGCAGGGCTGGGATCTCAGACCCCCTCCCCTGCCAACCACAGACGGGGGTGGCTTTCCCTTTAGGAAGGGGCTTCTGGGTTCTCCCTCACCGCCACTAGCCTCTTCCCTGCCTGCCTTCTGACCCCTCTGGTGCCCCCTGTCCCACCACAAAAAGGAGCAGCGTCTTGGTGGGAGAGGGGGCATGGGGCAAGGAAGGAATGGGGCTTTGAGAGAATGGGGCTCTTCTGTCTGTCCACCCCTTCTCAGGGGAGCCTGGGCCACGTTGAAGGGTGGATGTCTGAGCTCCTGGCACCTTCCTGTGTTGCATGTCCATGCCCGTTACTGCTTTTCTACCCCAGGGTATTTGTTTTCATAAATAAAACGAACAGCTTTAGCCTTAATGGTAGACTCAGTGGCCGTGGGAGCAGGTAATCAGGAGAACTGCTGAGAATGGGGAGGTGATCTGGATCTGTGAGAGGCTGACCTGGGTCTCAGGGGCTTCTCAGATGACCCCTGACAGAGCAGGCTTTTTCTTCTGCAGTGTTTGTCCCTCATTCAGCACTGCTGGTGGAGGCTCTCTTATCATTGCTCGGTGAGGGCACCACTGGAGTGCCTGGGTGAGGCAGGCAGTCGGTTAACACACTCGTCTGCTAATGAAGAGATTCAAGTCCACCCAGGGACACCGCAGAAGAAAGGCCTGGTGACTTAACCCTGAAAAATCAGCCTTTGAAATCCCTGTGGAGCAAGGTTCTACTCTGATACACATGGGGTCGTCATGAAGCAGAATCCACTGGATGGCAACTAGTTTTTATTGGTTAGGGGCCCAGTTAGCCAGCAAGGGGTGGGGTGGGAAAGGGCAAGGGAGGAGGAGGAGTGACTTCAGCGGCTTTTTCTCACCCATCCTCACTCTCACCTGGACAGAGTCTTGTCTCCTCTGCCCAAGTTGTCGGCCCATAGCTCCCTGTATTTATCCCTGGTGGGTGCTGCTCCTTGGTGGATGTTAGAAGAGAAAGCTTCAGGAGATGCCCTCTGCCCTCCCTGGCACCGTCTGCACTCTTCCCTGTGCTCTGTGTTGTGCTTGTATAAACTCATGAGGAATAAAACCCGGTCTGTGTGCCTCTCTGACCCTCCAAGACTGGTCGTTTCTTGAGTGTTGGCCACACCTGTAGCTTCCAGCCCAACAAAAGACAGGCATATGAGTTGAACATGTACCTGAGGTAGATACACTCCTTGGAGAGACAATCATGGGAGAAAGAAGGGCTGTTTATGCACAGGGAGACAGCTCAGGGGGCAGGAGTGCACGGAGGGATGGACACAGGGAAGAGATAACTATCAGGACGGAGTGGGAGGGGAGCTGTTGCATTGTGGGAAATTGTGGTCAATGTCATGAGACACGTGTGTGTGAACTGCTGTATGGAAGTGAATTTGCTCTGTAAATTTTCACCCAAATCACACACTCACACAAAAAAAAAGTCAGAGGAAGAAGAGAGAGGCCTGGGGAGTGTCCGAAGCCAGGGACAGGGATGGAGCTGGTGCCCTATAGCAGAAACTGGCTGGCAGTCACAGCCCAGCTCCACATCCTCTTGGGCACACAGCTGAACTACATTTCCTAGTCTCCCTTGCAGTTTGGTGGCATAGTGCCTAAAGCATTTATTTGACTACTAACCAGAAGGCTGGAGGTTCAAACCCACCAGCTCCTTGGAAGGAAGACTGGGCAATCTACTTCCATAGAGATACCACCTTGGAAACCCAAGGATTGCTATGAGTCAAAATTGACTTGACAGCAGTGGTTTGTTTTTTTTTTTTTTTTACCGTTAGGTTGGGCCATGTGATAGAGTTCCAGCCAATAGGATGTGTGAAAGTGTTGTGTGCCCCTTCTAGGCCTGGCCCCCCCAAACTCCTGCATGCTCTTCCATGCTATGCTAGCTTTACCCACACTAATCCAAAGCTGAAGCCATTCATTGATCAGGGTTCTGGGACCCTACAGGCTGGTGGACAAGATAAACTCAGGAATTAGGAATGAGCCAGGTGCCCCGACAGCAGTATCAGGCACTAACCACTTGTAGTGTCTCCAAGGAAACCATTTAGATCCTCATCGGAGGGGCAGGTGCCAATCCCTGGGTGTGCCTTTTATGGAGAAATTAAATGGGTTAATGTAGGGTGCACATTGGAGCTGAAGAGCGGGCATGAGTGTGTGTGTGTTGGAGGATTCGGGAGGTGAAGTAGAGATGTAGCAGAGGGGAGTGGGGAAGGGGAGAAGCATTAAAAGGCGGCATCATTTTAGCAGGCTTAAGGTTAACTCAGTTCCTAGGTGGTACAACCCGTTCGCACTAGTCCACTACCCTAAAGGTGGGAGGTTAGAACCCACTCAGCGGCACCAGGGAATAAAGGCCTGCTGACCTGCTTCCATAAAGATTAGTCAAGGGAATCCCATAGAGCAGCTCTACTCTGTAACACATGGGGTCGCCATGAGTTGGAATTGACCTGACAGCAGTGGGTTTGGCTTAGTTTGGGGGTTAACCCTTCCACATGCTCCTGGCTTTCCAGGTGCCGTGCCCTGGAGCTGGGCTGTGAATGGTGGAGGGGGGCTGTGTCTGGGCCAGATGCCCTTGCCCCAGGCTTCACTTTTCTCAGCCAAGACCAGATCTAGCTGGTGTCAGCAAGGCCTTGCTTAACTCCCAGCTGGGCCCTCATATTTGTTAAACTCAGGTGGCCAGACCTGCCAGGTAAGCAACAGCAGACACTGCGTCTGCAGCACCTGAGGGGTGCTTTTCCCACCGTGGCAGGGACAGCATTTTCTTGAGCCACAGGCTCCGGGGAGAGAGGGCCCTGTGCTGTATGATTTAGTCACGGCTCTGACTCAGTGACCAGGCCCTGCCTAGGTCTGAAGCCCACTCAAGTCGAACACCCTCCTCGGACCCGCAGCTTGGACCACTGCAAGCATGGGTTGTATCACCTCTGTAGGAGGCCAGAGCTTCTGCTTGTGGCTATGCATCGCGTGTGCGTACGCCTATGGAAGTGTGTGCAGATGCGTGTGCACGAGTGTGTATACGATACTCTTTCCCCCTCTTGTGTTCAAGGATCCTACCTTGTAATCCTCCCTTTCTCCCACATCACCCCATCACCCACCTTATTCAAAGCCCAGCCCCTCACTGAGCACCCCTTCCCTCTCCAGCCACCACTGTTTTTGTTCTTACCTTGACAGCAAAACTCTTCAAGAGAGTTGTCTTTGTTGCCATTTTCTCACTTCCTGTGAGAGACTGAGACCCCTATTCCAACCATGCTCTTATTCCCACCCCTAAGGAGCTCTGGTAGCATACTGCCTAAGGCATTTGACTGCTAACCAGAAGGCTGGCAGTTCAAACCCACCAGCCACTCCTCTGAAGGAATATGAGGCAATCTACTTCTGTAGTGATACTGCCTCAGAAACCCAAGGAGGGGTCGCTATGAGTCGGGGCTGACTTGACGGCACATAACAACAACAACAACAATGTGTCAGAGTCAAGGGCGCCAGTGCGTTCCATCTTGACAAACTTAGGAGCCTGGCTTAATTCCCATCTTGCTCTTCTGCTCAGCACCATTTGATAGGGAGGATCACTCCTTCCTTCCTTTTTCAACTTTTCATGAACGGGAAAAATTTAACATGTACAAAAATCAAGAGGTGCATACAGTGAATCTCCCTGTAGCCCTCACCAATATTAACAGTTAGCAACTCAACACTCCTCCACCTCCCCATCTTCCTGTGGCTAGAAAATTTTAAAGCAAATTGAAGACTTCATGTCCTTCCACCTTAAATGTTTCCTTGTGCCTTTCTGACAGACTTTTTTCCATATAGAAACCCATGGCATCATTGCACCTACAAGATTAACAGTATCCTCTCAACAACACTTAATCCTCAATTCACATTGAAATGCCACAAAGCTGTTTTGCTGCAGCTTGTCTGTTAAATCTGGAGGCAGCAAGAGCCCCCCTTGTATCTTTCCTTCTGTACCAGCCCTTCCCTTTCCCTCCATGCCATTGATTTGGAGAAGAAAGTGGATCCTTTGTTTGACAGTGTGCCCAGTATTTTGGACTTGGCTCATGCTTCTCTGTGATGTCTTATAACTTTCCCCTCTCTGCTTGGTATTTACTGTAAAGAGGTGACTCAGAAGAAAGGGCTGGCAATCTACTGAAACATCAGCCATGGAAAACCCTAAGGGACACAGTTCTATAGGCAGTCACTAAGTTACAAACATCTGACTTACAATCATACTTGCCCTTTAATGTTATGTAAATTTACCCTTATTTTGAAACAATTGAACTGATGCCTCAAAAACAAACAAACAAACAAACTCATTGCCATTGAGTTGAGTCCCACTTACAGTGACCCACCTGGTGGTAAATCTTTACAGAAATAGGTTGCTCCATTTTCCTCCCAAGGAGCTCTGGTGGCATAGTGCCTAAGACACTTGACTGCTAACCAGAAGGCTGGCGGTTCAAACCCACCAGCTACTCCTCGGAAGGAAGGCTGAGCAATCTACTTCCATAGTGATACCGCCTCCGAAACTCAAGGAGGAGTCGCTATGAGTTGGATCTGACTCAACAGCAGTGAGGTTTTTTTTTTTTTTTTTTGGTATCTTCCTCTTGGAGAGGAGGTGGAGTGGCTGGTGAGTTTGAACTACCAATTTTCTAGTTAGCAGGCAAATGCCTTAAGTACTGTGCCACAGAGCTCCTTGAAGCAACCCTAAAAAAAATCCAAACCAAACTCACTGTCATCAAGTCAATTCTGACTCATAAATCTTTATAGAAGTAGATTGCCCAGTCTTCCTTCCACAGAGTGGCTGGTGGGTTTGAACCACCAGCCTTCTGCTTAACCAGTCAAACGCCTTAGGCACTATACCACCAGAGGTCCTTGAAGCAACCCCTATTCCCTACAAATTCTTCATCACAATCATCTTCACTTGC